AGACTAGAAGAAGAATGTGGCATCAGGAGTGGAGGAAGACTCATCAACAACTGACATTATGCAGGTGACACAACCTGTTGTGCTGGGAGTGAGAAGGACCTGACAACTTACTGAAGAAGATCCAAGACTACAGCTGCCACTGTGGGTTCTGCCTCAACGTGAAGGAACAGAAAGCTGCACAACTGGATGAGGAAGCAACATCATGACAAATAGAGTGTCTTGGGCTGGGTTCTCCAGGGTAGCAAAACCAAAGGAGCAAAACAAACTTGCAGAGACACGCGAGGATATCCAAGTCTTAGCGTCCCTATGAACAATCGACCTGAACTCTATCCTGTCCTGTGCCATCCTCACAATCTCTGATGCTACAGTCACTGTGTCAGCCCACCTGGATGAGGCTCTTCCTCTCTTTTGCTGGCCCTCCACCACCTAAGCATGATGTGTCTCTTCAAGCAATGACCTCTCCTAGCAACATCCTCAAAGCATGTAAGATGAAGCTTCTCCACACTCACGTCCAAGGAGCACTCTGGTTGCACTTTCTCTAAGCCATATGTTTGTTCTTTTGGAAGTCCATGGGATGCTCAGCTCTTTTCTTCAACACCATAGCACAAAGGCATCAACTCTTCTTCTGTTATTATTAATCATTATCCGGCTCTCAGACTCCACCACTCCAAACCTGTCAAGAGAATGACTTCATCACACCTGACATACTGAGCAGCACAGGCAATCACAACCTGAACCATCACAAGAGGCAAAGACTCAAGCTGGCAAGGCTTTTCTTTTCCTCAGATCCACAATCGACACCCACAGAAGCAGCAGTCAAGAAATCAAAAGACATGCTGCATTGGGGAAATCTGCTGTCGCAGACCTTTGTAAAGCACTAAAGAGCAAGGATGTCAGTAAGGAGACTAAGGTGTGCCTGATCCAAGCCATGGTCTTTGCAATGCTTGGTATGCAGCTGAAAGTAGACAATGAATAAAGATGGCAGCTGAAGAATCACTGCCTTTAAGCTGTGGTGTTGGTGAAGGGCATTGGATATATCATGGACTGTCAAAGAACAAACAAATCTGTCATGAAGAAAGTGTAGCCAGGCTGCTCCTTAGGAGCAAAGACAGTGAAATGTCATCTCACTTTGGGCATATTGTAAGGAGAGGCAAGGCCAGTCCTTAGAGAGAGACATCATCTTGGGAAAGGAAAGTGGTTGGTGAAAGAGAAGAAGACTCTCAGGGAGATGAACTGAAATGGTGACTGTAACAACAGGTTTGGGCATGACAGATGGTGAGGAGGGAGCAGGATAGGGTGAAGTTCTGTCTGTTGTTGATAGGGTTCCTATGAGTCGCAGTCAGCTTGATGGCATCTAACCACAGCAAACTGTAAGAGAAAAAAAATTTCTTAAAGCTACATACTTTGGGCCAGGAGGGACCAGTCCTTGGAGAGGGACGTCATTCTTGGAAGGGTGGGAAGACAATGCAGGAGAGGAAGACCCAGGATGAGATGGATTGATTTAGTGACTAGAGAAATGCAATTAGGTTTGTCAGAGACAGCGAAATTGGCTCAGGATAGGGAAGGTTTCAGAGCTAATGAGGTCACTATGGGTTGCAGGCAACACATTGACACATAACAACAACAACAATACTGCTTGTGGTGTCTGTTATGGCAGCAGTAAATTAAAGGGGTCAGCAAAAAAAGAGAAAGAACCTTAAGCAGACGGATAGGTAGTGCCTGCAGCCACGGGCTGGAGCCCAGCAGGAGCCCAGCAGGGGTGGTGAGGATAGCGGAGAATCAGGCAAGCTTTGTTCTGTCTCTGTGACTCAGGAACTTGAGGCACCAGAGCTCCTGGCCAACTGAGGCTCATGAGCCATCTGGGGATCAGAGGAGGGACCCTTGTAAAGAGGTGTTCCCAGTAAGTATGAACATTGACAAGCTTGGCTGTTCATGGTGATCATGTGGTCACACTCAGAGACCTGGCCATCCCCTTCTGGAAATTCAGTGGGCACTGATGGGACTGGAACCAGTCACTGGGGCGCTGCCAGAGGCCCATTCTCCACTCAATGCAGTTCTGACTGCAGTTCCGGTAATGTTTTAATGGAAACGGGCTTGAGCGCCAAGAGGCAGGGCAGCCAAGGCAATGGTGCAGAACACACTTCCAGTTCCCACCAGGCCTCAGAGAAGACCTGGTCACAGGGACCAAGATAGGGCCACAGTGTTTGACACAGGGAGGGGGCCGGCGCTCTCCAGGGCACCGCAGGGGCACGAGGCTGGGAGGAGGGGGCTGGACCACCATGCTGGGAATCCGACTGTGGCCTCTGGTCTTGGCGGCCAGGCTGCTGCACAAGCTGGGGCGTGTGTTGGCCCTGGAGAGAGGTCTGCGGGTCGCCTCTGAGGAGTGACAACCACCCACTGGGAAACACTCATCCTCCCACCCCGAGTCCCACTGGAATCACCTGGGGACGGCTGGCTGCTGTGCCCCTCTCCACAGTCTCATTGAAAAAGCAATTGTCTCTGTGGGGAGGAAACGCCTCTCCCTGTACCGCAAGGGTGAGGTGCCCTCCGGGAGGCTGGTGGCAAGGTGCCAGCTGGCATGATCCCAGAGCCACGTGAGCTGGGCCAAGCTTCACAGCACAGTCACTGCTGATTGTCCACGCAGGCCTGTTTTCAATGCCAGTGACCAAGGCTCAGCCCTGGACAGAAAGCCAACAGCAGACCCCCAAATGTTGAGTGGGAACAAGGCCTAGCTGAGCCTCCAGTGGGTTTTCCCAGGATGTAAACCACCCAAGAGGAGATTGCCCACTTTTCTCCCAGGAGGCTGCTGGTGAAGCCAAGCTGCTGAGGGTGGTCTGGGGGCTGGCAACTCCCCCTCTGCCAGTACTTGCCCATCTTGAGGGGGAAGAACTAGATGACACCTTGGTGATCTCCTGCTCACCTCTACACCCCACTCTGTCTCCCAGGGGCCTCAGCTCCAGGGGTTCTCTGCTAGGACGCCCTTCCCGCACTGCCCGGCTGCAGGGTGGCCAGCGGGCACCCAGGTTGGCCTGCCCTACCTCCTAGAGGAGGTGCATGGTGCATAGAGCCTGAGTGCAGGCAGAGTTCAGGGGAGGAAGCTGGGCACCTCAGGTGTCACCCCCGGGTGTCTGAGCACCAGCAGACCCTCTTCCCCTCCTGGCCTCAGGTCAGCACCCCAAGCAGCACAGGACTCTTCTGCAAGTCTCCAGGTGGGGTGAGTGAAGGCCGAGGCACTGACCAGATGTCTGAGACCTCAACTGAGGGAGGACCTCAGGGTTCCCCTTACCCCGTCTGCTGACCTCATGTGGGCATTGCCAGCACTGAAGGGTGCATAGGGGTCCCAACTGCTCTCGCTTCACACCCAGAGCTTCTGCACCCCAGCTGCTCCCGCTTCACACTCAGGGCCTCTGTACCCCCAGCTGCTGCCCCCTATCAAACCCAGGGCCTCAGCACCCCCAGCTGCTGTCTCCTTATCACACCCAGGGCCTCTGCACCCCCAGAACCTGTCCCAAATCACACCCAGGGCCTCTGCACCCCAGCTGCTGTCCCAAATCACACCACCCCCCTGAGTCTCTGCATCCCCAGCTGCTGCATGGGGGCGCCCTGCTGTCCCTTCTCATCACACTCAGGGCCCTGCATTCCCAGCACACCCTGCCACTTCCTCCACCAGGGTCCTACAGGATGACGTCAGACACCTCCTGCCTACCCAGCTCCTCAACCTACACCTTTTACACTCCCCTCCTTGACAGTAGACAGGGCTGGTCACTGTGTCTGCGGGAGGGGTGAGAAAGGCAGGCATGGTGGCCAGGCACTGCATCTGCCTTCTGGACCTTTCTGAGCTAAGGACTCAGAGACCAGAAACTATGTCTGATCAGAAACTACCTACCCACTGTGGGACCAGGAGACGAGGAGCCATTGGCTGGAGGCCCTGGAAATGGGAGGCTACCGTGTGGGGGCCCAGGAGACAGGGAGCCATTATCTGGGGGGGGGGGCCAGTAAGAGGGCGGTCATTGGCTGAGAGTCCAGGAGATAGGGGGAGCACTGACTTAGGATCCAGGAGAGAGGTGAGCCATGGGCTGGGGACCTAGGAGATAGGGGGCTGTGGGGTAAGGACCCAGGAGATAGGGGGCTGTGAGCTGGCCCCATAGGAGATAGGGGGTCATGGGATGTGGACCCAGGAGATGGGGGGTTATGGACTTAGAGCCAAGAGGATGGGGGGCCATGGACTGGGGACCTAGGATACTAGGGGGTTGTGGGATTCAGTAGTAGGGGACTGGGGCCCAGAGCCACCTTGGGAAGTGAGCTGTTTATCCACGTCTGCACTATCCATGCACCTTGTGGGGCAAACACTGTCCTGTATCTCCATCAGCAGGCACTGCTTCTGAGCTGTTGTGCAGATGAGGAGGCTGGGAGGACCTGTTCAATCGACTCCAGTGGGAGCAGGGCCGAGAGCCAGCCCAGGATACTCGGGGAAGCTGGAGTACTCTCCAGAACCAGCGGACTCACAACACACACTACAGACACTCACACACCACACACTGGCTGTATTTTCTCCTCAAACAAGAGGTAGACACTGCTAAGGGACACCCAAGTGAGCAGGGTGAGCAGAGGGGCTGTCCCTGTTGCAGGAAGAGCAGCTCCAGGGCCCTGAAGTGGATCAGAGCTGGGGATCAAGGCAGGCACGCACTGGGGACGACCTGGGAATACCAGGACTGAAACACTGGGGGTCAGGGTCATGGGGATTTGGGACTGTAAGAATTAAATGCTGGAACTCTGGGGCCAGAGACTTGAGAATCAAAAATTCTAGGACAGCCTGGGCTGTGTGTGGTCCAAGCCCTGTGGGCCCTGGGTCCCAAGCATCTGAGTCTTGCTGTGTGGCCTTGACTGGTAGCTGGTATTCATGGCCCAGAGCCCCAAAGGTCCCTGTAACAGAAGCAACATTGTGGATAGTGGGTGTGCCCACATGGTGGGGCAGCGTGGCTTGTGGGCGGGCTGTGTGGTCACCTGTGGCCCTTCCGGCGACGTAGCAGCACGAACAGCAGCACAATAACTAGGGCCACGGCCAGGCCCCCGAAGATAACACTCAGCAGCACCGTGTAACTGTTACCTGTAGATGGACACAGAGCGTCCAGGAGGCAGGCAGGCAGGCACTGTGTAACTGCACCCTGGGTGGACATATTCAGGGCACGTGTGGTATGACTTCGCCCTGAGGTGGACACAGTCAGGGGGGAAAGGCGGGGGGGGGGGGGTGTGCAGGGCCCAGGGATGTGACTGCCTTTGGGTGGACAGTCAGGACACACATGGTGGGGGCAGCCTACCTGGCTGGCACCGAGGGGTGGGAAGGGACCAGGTGCCATCTCCTTGGCAGGTGCTGGCCCCTGGTCCGTCCAGGCTGTACCCATGGTTGCAGCTGAAGTGGACAGTGGAGCCGGCCAGGTAGCTGGTGCCCTCCTTGTGTCCATTGGCAGGGGGTGCCACCCAATCACAGGACACAACTAGGGACAAGTGAGAGGGCCGGGATGCCAGCTTGCCCATGCCTAGTGTCTACAACCTATCCCCTCACGGTGGCCCCTCCCCACGGTGCCGTCCCCTGCCCCCCTCACCTGGCTGCAGGCTCTGCACGCGGTGCAGGTGCAGCTGGTGCGCGGCCTTGGTGGCGCTGCCCACACTCAGGTTCCCAGTGGCCACCACGTCGAAGCTGCAGAAAGGGTCACCCCCACAGAGGGCGCTGGCCTCACGGGCCAGCTGGGAGGTGGCAGGGATCTGGTCGGGGAAGAGAGGCTGGAAGGAGGGGTCGTGCTTGGGCCGGAACAGGAAGTTGTTGACCAGGAAGCGGGAGTCATAGGTGAACAATGATGACTCATTGTGCACGGCCCCTGGGAGGACAAGTGGCTGGTTTGGGTGCTGGTCAGCAGTGGGGTGTCCGGGCCTCCAGCCCTCCCAGCCCTGGTCACTCACAGTCAGCCCCAAACCCGAACAGCTCCCGCGAGCTGGCTGTGGGGGGCACCACACGCCCGCTGCGCAGGGTGAAGTCGTCCTGGGGGTTGCCATTGAGTGTCCCCAGGAGGCCCTGCGTGCCGTTCTGGAAGCCCTCAGGCAGCAGCACCGTCACACTCAGAGACGGGCCCTGGATGCTGACCTCCAGGCCGGCCCCCGAGGACAGCATGATGGACACGCGCTCATCACTCGCCACCGATAGGAACATGCCTGGGTGGGGGGGAGTCAGTAGTGGCACCCTCGAAAGACTGAAACGACCCACATCCAGCCCTCTTGTCACCCATGGCCGCACCTGTGACGGGTCCCCACACCATGGACATGTGTCGGGGCCACCCATAGGGTGCTGTGTGGCTCAGGATTCCCCAGGTGGCATGGCTGGAGAGAGGGGCAGGTGCTGCCCCTGTCCCCTCCAGGGTACTGAAGGAAGACAGGATAGTGTCCCTGCTCCAGACAGCACTGTGCCCGTGGCCTGGCCCCAAAGGGCTCCTGAGCAGCCTCATGCATGTGACCTGGGTACTTCCTCAGGGCTCCTTAAGGCTGTCCCCAAATTGAAGCCTGACCCCCACCAGGAGATTGTGTCCTCAGGGCCAGCCTTCCACTTCCCTCTGCAGCCAGCTCTGCACCAGGGCCTGACTGGCCAGCCCTGGTGGTTCCCATCTCTGCACCCGATCCCGGGCTGTCCCAGCCTTCTAACAAGGACAAGGGACAGGCCCTGCCTGTAGCGCCTCACCTTTGAGGTCCAGCCATCGCTGCTCATCAAAGCTGAGCACCCGTTGGTTCAGCAGCACCTCCAGCTTCCTGTTCTCATTGGCCAGCCGGACCTCCAGTATGTCTGAGGTGCCCTCCCGGACCGCCACCGACGTAAGCCCTGTGCCCAGGGCCTGAGTGCCTGAGGAGGACAGGGTCATCTGCTCGACTGCCACCCCCACCCTCTGCCAGGACTGGACAGTGTATCCTGCTGAGCCCCTGGGCACCCTCACCAATGGGCAGCATTTCTGGAACCCTCTCTGCTGGGCCCCTGACACCCTCATCCTAGGGACTGTCCCCAGCTGGACCCCTGGTACCCTTACCGTTGGGCAGCGTCCCTGGCTGGGCTCGAGCCTGCACACTGAGCTGGGTGACATTGGCCTCCAGCAGCACATACTCCCCACGCCCATTGAACGTGAAGTTTGCGCCGTCAAAGGTGAGAAAGTGTGGGTCCCCGAAAGCGGAGGCTGGAGGAGAGGGGTGTCAGACATGCTGCGGCCCTTTAGGGACGGGGGTCCCAGGGGCAGCCAGGACCCACCGAGGCGTGGTGGCTGGTAGTGGCGGCAGCCACTGGAGGGCCGCCGGTCCAGGTAACGGGGACACTCGGGGGCCCACAGGCAGCAGTGGTAGAAGCTGATGACATCATAGAGCCAGTGGGACAGGCCTGGCACGCGGGGTGGTGTCAGGAATGGGGGCGCACCCCAGTCATGCCCACGGTCCGGGGTGCTGCCGCTGGTGGAGTCCGCTGTGAGCAGCTGGGTTCCATCTTCCGTGTAACAGCACTGCTGGCCCGAGGCGTAGCGGGGGCTGGGGCGCGGAGGGTAAGGGTGGGCACAGTGCTTGCACCCCCATAGACTACCCAATTCCTCCATGGGTGCTTGTCCCCAGCGCCTCTCCCTCATGGGTGCCTGCCCCCACCCAGCCCGTGGGTGCCCACCTTCAGCCTGCACTCCCTCCTCCTATGGATGCTGACCACCTCCTCCCCCTGTGGGTTCTGACCTGGCTTGCACAGAGCGCACGCAGTGCACGGCCCCTGGGTGGTAGGTGCACACACTGCCTTGCTCCATGTCACAGCCATAGTCCGTCTGCCAAGACAGGTCACCTCAGGCCTGCCCACATCTCCCACCAAATGGGCCCCCTATCCCCCACTAGAGTGGAGCCCCTCTGCCCTCTCATGGAGTGGAGACCCTTCTGCCCTGTGCTGTCCAGAACCTCAGGGGAGGCTAGTCCCGGCCCCAGAGAGCCACCCCCTGAATCTCCACAGGTGGTCCTGGATGGCCCCCGTCACAGGCCTGGGGCCCAGGAGAGGTGTGGGTGGGCAGGGGAGGGATGAAGCCTCACAAAAAAGCGGCCCGTATCGGCACGGGCCTGGGCCAGCGTGCAGGGGCAGGCGGGCAGCTCCCCTAGGAAGTTGGGCAGCTGGTCCTCCAGCGCCCCCCAGGCCAGGCACTGGGTGCGGGCCCAGCCCACAGGGTCTGCCCGGAAGTCTTCACCCAGGTGCCAGGCCAGGGCATGCTCGTTGCTCCAAATGGCCTGCACGTCCCTGTGGGGAACATGGCTTGAGAGGTCACTCCAGTCCTCCCTCCTGCAGTCCACCCCACCCACACCCCTCTCCCCAGCAGCCTACTCCTCTCCTCCATTCTCCAGTCCACCCTACCCGACTCCCTCCACCCTGTACCCACTTCCTGACAGCCGTGCCCTCACCTCTGCCCGGCCGGGTAAGCACTGTCCAGAATGCGCAGTGCCCCGACTTCCCACCGCTGGAAGATCTGGGGCGCAGGCTTGGGGACGAAGGTGAAGGTGCCAGAGTTGGAAAGGTTTGTGGCCAAGGTGTACAGATAGGACCACTCTGCTCTCCACTCCCTGGAGTATGGTGTCCCTGAGGGCAGAGGGGGCTTGGTGCAGGACAGTCTTGGGTAGGACCTGCCCTCAGGGACAATTCACTGTCCCTGGGGTCACCGTCCCATACCAGGCTGGCCCTTGGGAAGGCTGGGCCCCTCCCGGGGCCCCCAGGACAAGACTGTGACCACTGCCCCCATCCTTTCTCCTCTCATCTGTGAGCCCAAAGCCCTGCTCTGTGTGGAACACCCACCCAGTTCCTCATAGCCCCACAGCTCAATGGCCACATGGCGTGTGGACAGTGCTGATGGGCTCCAGGTCACGGTGAGGTTGTCCCCAGAGCCCGTGGTGCCGTAGTATTGCCAGCGCGTCTCATTCACCAGCACGCACTTCTCCGATGCCGACACCTTGCTGGGGTGCACTGTCGGGGAACAGGTTAGTGACAGCCGTGCCAGGTGAGGGTGAGGCCACCCCAGGACAAGGCAGGGAAGGGGAGCTGGGATGTAGAGGCCTTAAGAGGTTAGGACCTCCCCCCCCCGCCCCCTCCCTCGGGGCTAGATGAGAGGGACAGGAGTAGAATGAGGAAGAAAGGCAGGGGGAACCCCTGTGCTGTGCAGTGCAGCACCCCAAGGTGGGCAGGGCACCCAGGACCGGTTGGGCGGGTATGGCAGGCGCATCTTTCCAATGCAGATTAGTAGGATTAAGATGGAGAAGTCCCGCGTGGCTGGAGGGGCTCACCGGCCAGCCAGCTGCCAGAGCGCTCGAAGGTGCTGCCGTTGTTCAGGGAGAGCGTGAAAGGGATGAAGCCGCTCTCGTAGAGCAGCGGGGACACACAGTGCACCTGCCCAATGCTGTCCACCCAGCCCCGGGTCTGTACGTTCTCCTTAAACCTGCGGGCCAAGGGCAGACAGTGGGAACTCTGTTCGGGAGTCAGGGCTGCGCAAAGGACCAGGGGGTACCCACCTGCAGATGACGCCATTGGAGGTACCCCAGCGCAGATGCTGCACTACGAGGTCCTTGCCTCCCATGACAGAGCCTGAGTAGGGAAGGACATCCAGGCAGAAGTCCCGAACATCCAAGCAGCAGGTCCCCAGGCTGAAGCAGGTCGGGTGACAGGAGCAGGGCCCAGTCTTGATGCCGCAGCGCTGGGCGCAGCTGTCTTGGGCTCCTGCAGGAGAGACAGTGAGTAAGGCTGGCTGCCCCAGGCCAAGTCCCATCAGAGAGGCCTGCCCAGGAACACAGGAGTCACAGGGCTCCTGTGGGGACACACAGAGCTGACCCTCAGCACCATGTCTCCCAGTAAAAAGGGCAGGTGTCCCCAGCAGACCCAGTTGCCCCTTTTGGCACCAGCAAGGGGTATCAAGCAGAGCTGGGCCCCTCCCCTCTCCCCAGCAGTGGGCTCTCTCCTGGGAAGGCAGGTCTGTGGTTCCCTGGGGAAGGGGACAGTCCTGCAGAGGGTCACATTTGGTGCAGGCACCCTGGTGCTCCCCGAGTACTGCCCCTCCCCACATGCATCACGGGGCTTGAGCCAAATCTTGGTTGAAGAGCTTGGTGCTCAAGAGCATCAATACTGATGAGGCTGGTGATAAATTAATAAACAGGATAGGGGAGGGGGAGGGGGCAGGGGCAGCACAGCCCAGCCCCACCCTGGCCAGGCCCTGGCAGGCAGTGCTGGTCCCTGCTGGCTGGCTCGGTCCAAGTACAGACTGACTTCTGGGCTTGGTGGGTGGGGTTCCCAACATGCCCTCCATAGACTGAGGTGCTGGCCCATGACTGGCTAGCCTTGCTGCTCTGGCCCCTGGCCCAGCCCAGTGTCCTCCAATGTCCCACCCTGGTTTCTTGTCCCATATCTTGGGGTACTGGGGTGTCCCAGATCCCTATTTTTGCCTCCTCCACTGTCCTGGCCTCAGTCCCATATCTAGGGGTATACTGGTACACCCAAGGTCTCCATCCCTGTTCCAGGCCAGTCTCCTCCACTTTCCTGTCCCCAGTCCCATATCTAGGGGTATACTGGTACACCCAAGGTCTCCATCCCTGTTCCAGGCCAGTCTCCTCCACTTTCCTGTCCCCAGTCTCATATCTGGGGGTACAGTCCAGATCCCTGTCCCTGCCCCAATCCAGTCTTCTCTAGCCCCATGTCTGGATCACCCTAAGTCCCTAAATCCCCATCCCTGCTCCAGCCAAGTCTCCTCCACTGTCCTGGCCCAGTCCCATATCTGGGGGTACACTGGCAAACTCTAGGTCCCCATCCCTGCCCCCATCCAGGCTCCTCCACTGTCTTGGCCCCAACTCACAGGCCTGTGTCTGAGGGGTACAGTGGAGCACCCTAGACTCCCATCCCTGCCCCAGCCCTCAGGGTGAGTGTTGGGGAGCTCTGCCCCAGTCGCAATTCATCCCCCTCCAGATTGGCCCTGGCCCTGGCCCCTAGCCCCTCAGTGTCAAACTGAATAGTTGGCAGCCCTTCCCCAGGGGCTGGAGTTTTGCCCCATCACCCTGCACGGCCCCAAAGGACATGCACAGGCCAGACAGCCTGGCAGCCGCTGGAACTAGAGGTCGGGTACCTTCAACGGGCTGGGGTGCTGGCTCTGGGGACACCAACAGCAGCAGGAGGCAAGGCAGGAGGGTCCCCTTCATGGCGGGCTGGACCGGTGGCTAGTGTGCAGTGGCGCAGGGCTGGATGGCGGGACGGCTGCAGCCGGCTTCTCTTAGCCACCACCCCGCCCCTGGCCCCGCCTGCTGACAGCCTCTCAAAGTCCAAGCGGCCCAGGGGGTGGGGGGGCAGGAGGGCGGGACCAGAGAGGCGGAGCGTGGGGCAGCCCAGGACCCTGTCAGATTCCTCAGAGTTCACCAAGGCCTCTGCTTGCCTGGCCAGCTGGTGGAGATAGGGGTGGGAGAGGGCAGAGACAGCCTATCTGGACAGGAGCTGGAGGAAGGGAGCTGGGGTGCCAGGGTGTTTGAGATGAGACCTGACTAGAGCGCAGGGTTTCTCTTGCCTGACTGCACCCTTCCACCCCCATGGTCAATGCTATCTTGTCAGCTCCTCACCCTGCCCCACCCTGATACAGATTAAGGAACTGAGGAGCTACTCTATAAATTTTAGATATGAGTCCCTTATCAGATGTCATCACCATTAAAATAAAATTTTATTAAAAAAAAAAGTCAGAGGTCAGCTTGGCCTGAGTGGGCAGGGCTGTGTTATCAGGGTGTACAGGGCATTCCTGGGAACACCCAGAAGCTGCAGGGTCCCACATCCTGTGGTCAACCACCCAGGTTCCCACCAATGTTCCTCTGGGAGGTGGGTGCTGCAGGCAGGTACTGAGAGTTGACCCTACAAGAAGACAGCCAGAGAGTGGGTACCAGGACCGACCCAGGGAGGCCTCCATCTCTAAGAGAGCTTCAGAGTGTGGCGTGTACCCTTCCCTCCCAGGTACTTTTGGTGGGAGCCCCATTGCTCAGCCAGGACCTGTTGGCTTCAGCAGGGCCACCACAAGGCAGACCCCGAAGACGGGGCAGGATGGTGAGGCAGCCTGTCCGGGGAATGCTCCTGGCTGGGGCATAAATGCCAAGCTCTGTGAGCATGGCTGACACTGGGCAGTTTGTAGGCTCCTGTAGGGGTCCAGGTGCTGACTGCCCATGGGGATGTGTCAGCAGGGAGCAGTGAAGCCACACCCCAGAGGGCACAGGGCAGGGGGAGGGTCCAGGAGAGTCCTGGACTGAAGCCACTCGAGGGAGGCCTGTGGATGGCCTTAAGGTACTGAGGATGGCTGACTGGACACTTTTGGGCTGGTCACGGGTTCCGGAATGAGAAAAATCCCAGGCCTGCCCTAGTACTCTGCTTTGACCTCAATTTCTGGACACTGGCCTCAGGCTAGAGGTCTGCAACTGCTCCTGCTGGACCACCTCTTGATTCCCCTCCTGACACCTTGTGGGACCTACTAGTCCCCCAAACATGCCTGACCTTAGTGGCCCTTGGGCTCAGCTCCAACCCCTTCAAGGCACCCTGGATCTGAAGCTGGACTGCTGGCCCTCACCTGATACCAGGCTGGCTCTAGGGCTTTCCAGAATCCTGAGGGGACAGTGTGTAGCAGGGATCCCGGGTCTCTTCTGGTCAGCCCCGCAAGAGATGAGAGGCAAAGAAAATGATTCCAACTTTATTAGAAAACACAAACAAAAATGGAACATGGGGTGCAGCTGCCTGGGTGGAGCACAGGTCTGCAGAATGAACACTTTCTAGAAAAGGGTGGCCACCACCACCATGTCCACTGCCTCAGTCCTCCTGGGCCTGTTGACTGGATGCTCCCAGCACAGGCAGGTCCTGAGGGTAAAGGGCCCGCTGCTAGACACGGCCTCACCAGGCCTCGCCCTGCCCAGGGCCCAGGCTGCTGCTGGGGTGCCAGGCAGGCCTCTCAGATGTCCATGTAGTCGTCATCCTCGTCTGTCTCACTGTCCAGCGAGGACTCCTGGCTAGACGTCTCCAGGACCTCCAGGGCCGGCTGGCACAGGCTCTCCTTCCGCACATTGGCAGCTGACTGAGCGGAAAGGATGGCAGACTGTAGGCAGAAGGCAGGTGCTGTCAGGGGCTAGGCTCCCCCTCGGTTCCACCACCCCACTCCCTGTAATCCACAGTCCACACTCCTGTCCATCTGTAACCTGCATCTCCTGTCCTGAGATACCTCTATACCCCACCCTCGTCCCACTGTAACCTCTACTGTCATCTATACTTCCACCCCGACTCTAACCTACACACCCAGCTCTGAGGTACCTCCGGACTCTGCACCCTACCTCTACCGTACTCTGTACCTCCACCCCACTATAACCTGTAACCCCACATCTACTGTAATCTGCACCCCCACCCCCACCGTTACATGCCCCCTACCCTCACTATAACCTACATACCCAGCTCCAAGGTAATACCCTGTACTCTACCCCTCCTGTACCCTACCCCCACCTCTACCTTCACTGTAACATACCCTCCACCACCATAACCTGCACCCCCAACTCTGAGGTCCCTCTGTACCCTGAAGCGTCCTGTGGTCCCTCTGTAACCTGCATCCCCAGCTCTAAGGTACCTCTAACCTGCATCCCTGAGGTCCCTCTGTACGCTGTACCCCTAGCTCTAAGGTACCTCTGTAACCTGCACACCCAGCTCCGTGGTACCTCTAGGTTCTGCACCCCCTTCACTGTATCCCCAGCTCATGGAACCTCTGTATGCTGGACCCACCTCCACTGTACTCTGCACCCCCCAAGCCCAGAGATACCTCTATATCATGCACCCCCCTCCCTGTAACCTACAACCCCAATTCCGAGGTACCTCCATACCAGGCACCCACCTCCACTGTACCCGGCACCCCCCGCCACGTGTCCCACCCCTGTGCTCACCTTCAGCTTCTGTTTGGTCTCTTCAGAGATGCTGCCTTTGGGTGAGAGCAGAGTCGGGGTGGGGGGGGTGACGGTGATCTCAGGGGGGAACTTGGTGGCTGCGGTGGGGATGACCAGCTTTGGCATACTGGGCAGCAGACGCAGCTTGGCCCGGCTGGGCTCAGCCTTGCCTGGGGAGTCCCCAGGTAGCTGGCTGCCCCCACTGCTGAGGGCCTTGGAGCCCAAGACTGTATCAGGACAGAAGGGTGGAGCCTGGTCACAGGGCCCAGAGGCCTTGTTCCTGGCTTTGGGACCTCCTATACAAGATGGAGACACCAGAGCACCCTTTCTGTGCTGCCAGGACCCTTGGCCCAGTCAGGACCCCTGGCCCAGCCGTCCCTGGCTGCAGGCTCCCAGGCCCTGCAGGGCTGATGAGCTCTGGGCTGCCCCACCTCCGGGCACAGCTGTGCATTCTGGGAGCCTGGGCTGGGGCCAGCACCCTGCCCCCTGGGCTCAGGCTCTCCAGCATCACAAAAGCTCTGCAGTCTGGAGCCACCCCAGGGGGATGGGCCGGGCTGATGACAGCCAAATGGGGGAGGGGCCCCAGGACAGGCTGCAGAGGGGCCTGCACTCTGATGTAGGCCTCTGTCTGGTGGGCTCCATGCAGCTGTCTAGCTGTGGCTTTAAAAGAAGTGAGGTTTGATGCATGCCCACAGAGGCCCCGGGAGCTGGTCTAGACCTGTCCCTGAGTAGCCCAAGGAGTCCTGGCTAGAGACCAGTAGTCCCCGCTGGTGTCCCATTCCTCCCCATGTATCTATCCCCCAAAGGTCTCCTGGATGGCAAGTGTCACCCAACACAGCCTGGCAGGGTGGGCCTGGTTTCCAGAGAATCGGGTGCCAGGCTGAGTGCCCAGACCTGAGAAGTCCAGCCTGTCTGAAGCAGGGAGAAGATGCTCTTAGAGTGAACTCAGGTCCTGACTCTGCTCCCTCCTGCTCACAAGAGCCACTCCCCCGCCCCCCACCAGCCAGACCTTCCTGGTCACCACGGCTCCCAGCCCCTGGCCAGGTCCTCCTCTCCTCCCTCCTGGTCACCACGGTCCTCACCACCCCCACCCCAGCCAGGCCCTCCTCTCCTCCCTCCTGGTCACCATGGACCTCAGCAAACAGCCAGGATCTCTTCTCCCTCCTGGTCACCATGGCCCCAGGCCTTGGCCAGCCCTCCTCTTCCACCAGCTCCTAGCTTCTGCTCAGACCCAGGCCTGCCCTACTCCTTCCCTGCCCCTCACATCCACCAGGACGACACACGTTGTGTGCACTGTGGTCTCGTGACTATTCAGGCCCTTCTGCTGGGAACCCCATCCCAGAGCCCACCTGGAAACCTCAGGGGGACCCAGTCCTGCTGTCTGCCTTACCCTGGCTGCAGGTGGACTCGGCACCTGTCAAGGGGGCAGCATCCACTGGCCAGCAATCCAGCTCTGTCGGGGGCACTGCTGGGGCTGGCTTCCCCTGCTGGCCACGCTGAAGCTCATGGAGTGGGAAGCTGGTGCCCTCTGCTCCTGCCAGCTCTGCTCCCTCTGTAGGGACACAGGGACCGGCTCAGGGCCATGCTCTGACCTCTGTGAGGAGGTGGCCCTCCGCACTGCTCCCCAGGGTTTGCTGTCCTGTACACCTGGGACATCTGTGAGGCAGCACAAGAATGAGGCCACAGCACGCTGACTCTGACTGAAGCTGTGCTCCATGCATGTCCCTGGACCAGAGGAGACTCCTGACCAGCAATGGAGGAAAATGGAACAATATATCATTCTTCATAACACCCCACGGGGTGGGCCCCCAGGGTGCATACAGGGCACACTGACGTCCTCCAGAACCAAAGCTACTGAGTGAAGTAAGGTGAGTGTAGCAGCATGCTGGAATCGTGCCCGCCACAGTGGATAGGATGAGACAGCTGTCACCTGGATCTGTACATGGTGGTCCCCATCAGGCTGAGGCCACATCAATTCCACCGCCCTTGCTCTAATACCCCCTCTGGAGCTGGCCATGCCTGGCTCTCCAAGGACAGGGCCTGGTCAAATGCCTGGGCGTCAACTCATGCCCAAGGCCAGGCAGTCAGAGTGCTCCCTAGGCATCTTCCAGCCCCAGAAAGCTCAGTGACCAGCAAGGGTGGGTCTAGGTGAGGACACCCGTCTAGGGGGGGCAGGGGCCTGGCAGAAGACCACTCATGTTGGTTTTGGGAAAGGAGATAGAGGAAGATCAATTCTCACAGCCGATGTGTTCACCTGAATTCACTTCACAGATGAAGGTGTGAACTTCAGGATAGGTCCACCTCAGCTGGGCAAGAGGGGAAGCCTGGAGGTGCCCTTGAGCTGGTCTAGCCTACAGAGCCCCCAGGCCATGCCACTGGTCTGTGTCACCGCAGGAGAGGGTGGTTCCTTGAGACCAGATCACAGAAGATGCTGGTGGCCCCTCCTGCTCTCTGAGAAGGACCCCAGCCACACTGCCCTTCTCCAGGCCACATGGGGACAAGCTGGCAGGAGCAGAGGAACCGGCTGGGCTTCCAAGGTTGGAGTGGCCACTGCCACCAATACCCACTACTGTTCATGGGCTCCCTGTCCTTACCATATGGGAGCCCAGTCACTCCACATGGACACTGCAGCAGTAACGTGGGCAAAGTGGTGGGCAGTGTGGCCATGGCCTGTGGAGCTGAAGGTCCCAGCACTGTGACAGCTTTTCCAGACCCGGGGATGGTAACAGATGGGGACAGAGGTCACAGAGGCCAGTGGGCTGTAGACATTACCCCCTGTTGGTTATACAGTGGGGGGTGAGCAGTGGGGGGTGGAGGAGGTGACGACTATGCTGTGACCCTTAGGCTTAGTGGGTGTTGGGGGCATGGCTGTGAATACAGGTGGGGTGACTGTGCTGTGATCCCGAGCCTGGCAGCCATGAGTAGCCAGGCTATGAGCAGTGGTGGGGTGACTTGTGCGGCCAGCAAGGAATCCTCAGGTGGTGATGGGGAAGGCAGGAAGGGGTGCAGTGCCACTCAGCTTTCTTCCCTACACCCCTCTCTGGCCCTTGGCTGCCTCAGGCCTGAAGGCTGTAGGAGTAGGGGCATCAAGGACAGAGCCCCAGGATCTCCTGTGCCCACCTGTCCACTCTCCTCTGTGGCACTGGCCAGGGCCCCTCACGTCCAGGCCCAGTGCTGGACTTGGGAAGTGCCTGGTCGATCACCCTTTGTGACCAGACAGTGTCCTCAGCTGTGGGTTCCAAAGACTAAGAGGCCACCGTGCTTCCCCTCCCACCACACCTGCAAGTAGGGACCAAGCGTCAAGTGAAGATAGGACCAATGGGTTTAGGGGTGCTGGCCAGTCCCTCTGGGCAGGCTGCAGCATGCAGGGGGAGGCTGGGGCTCACCTGGGGATAGAGAAGTGGTGCTGGGGGCAGCCTCGGGCCTATGCAGCCGGCAGTGACTGGAGTCCTTAGCTGGGTCTGGGCCAGAGGCTGACATACATGGTGGGCAGCTGACGGCGGCAGGGGAGGTGGCTGGGGCAGGGCGCTTGGCATGGCTGTCCACTGGGCGTAGGGGGGTATCAGCTGCTGTTGCCTCAGGAGTGGTGGGAGTCACTGCCGCAGGAAAAAAGTTCTCTCGGTTGTCCTTGGGGTGCTTTGGGGTGGTGGGAGTGTCCCCTGCAGCCTGTGAGGACAGAAATGGGGGAGGCCTGCTGGAGAGCCCAGGGTCAAGAGAGTCCTGCTGAGCAGCTGGGCAGAGAGACCTACTGGTACCACTCATATCACCCCAATGGGCAAGCCCACACCCACCCCGACCTTCTCCTAGCAAAGGCCAGCTGTGTCCTGGGGACCTGGTCCTCTCTCACTAATGTGCAGCTGTGTCCTGGGGGCTGTGACCCTCTCCTACAAAGGACAGCTGTAGCCTGGGGGCTTTACCTGTAGAGGGTGGGCCTTACCTGTCGCTGGGCAGCGGCCCCGAGGTGTACCTGACAAAACTTCACGGCCTGCTCCAGTGCTGCTGCCTCGTCCACCTAAGGAGAAGCCCCACCTCAGACATTTGATGCACACAGACCACCTAGGACCTAAACTGGCCTGCATAGGTGCCTTACCTGCCTACTGGGGAGGGGGCCGTGAGGAGGGACCTCCAGGGCTGAGACTGCCCCAGAGGGAGGTCAGGGGACTGGCTGAGCCTGCAGTGTGGCCGAGACCTAGGCATGGGAGCTACCTCCGTGGAAGCGAATGGATGGCCACACACACAGAGGGCCTTGTAGAAGCCATGCTGGGCAGTGGGCATCTGAGAGGGACTCCTGTGTAGGGCCAGCAGGGCCTGGGGTGACAAGCTCAGGTGTGGGGCAGCCAGGACTCAGGCCCTGGGAGGCAGCCTGCAGGAAGGATGGTGTTGGGACAGGCAGGCAGGCGTGAGGCCATGTAAGCCTGTGGAGAGCTGCCTCTGCCTAGTTTCTAACTGATGAGTGACAGGTGCAAGAAGTGTGTAAGGGCAGGCAATGTGGCAGCAGACCAGGTCACAGGCAGTGTGATAATCCTAGCAGACTTCACAACAGAGGGAAAGATGTGGGCTGGTGAGATTAAAGAGGAGAACAAGGAAGCCTGTATAAGCCCAGTTACATCCTCGGGCTACCATACAGTGACAGCCACGGCTGGAGACGGGTGGACAGTGAGTTACCATGTGAGGAGGATGAATGGGGTGGGGGCACTTACACACACACATGGACAGACACACACAGACACCGACACTCACACGTGCAAACACTCACTACTCAAGACACATACACATGTGTAAGAACACACCACAGATGACACACATGCATACACACTGACACACACAGGCGGACATGTAAATACACCCTTATGTGCACAGGCAGGCAAACAGAGGCAAATATGGACAACTCACACTGCCCCCACATCTAGCCACAGCCTCATGGGAAACAATGACACAAGAAGGGAGACGCCCTGAGAAGCTGCTCAGAGACTTCGTGAGGGCAAAGAGGCAGGTCTGAGCTGCAGAAGGCTCATTCATGCCTGTGAAAGTTGAATGTGTAAGGTGCGGGAAAATCAGTCCCCAGAACATGGCAGGCCTTCTCACTGCCGCCAGGTTTTCAGAAGTGGACTGGTCTTTCCCTTCTAGTCTGGAAGCTCCACTGGGACCCCTCACAGCAGCATGTATGCCTCCACCAACATCACAGTTGTCCTACTGACCCACCAGCACTCCAGGAAAGGTAGACTGCTCCTTTTAGTTGCACGACACCCTGTAGAAAAGTCCACCAGGACTCCCCGTGGATGGAAACCGGCTGGCCACACAACCCCCTACAGACCAGTCCACCAGGGTTCCCCGTGGACAGACTTTTTAGCACTTACTGCCATTCCACATAGTTAAACATAACTAAAACTATAAAATCAACAAAGAAAAATTAAGTAACTTAGAACTCCTGAAATAAAGTAACTTAAGATTATCAAAAGATCTAAAGACAAGGAAAAGACAAAAGAATCCAATTTTTTTAAAGTGTGAAGGATATAAACAGACATTTCAACAAAGATAAACACATGAAAAGACCCTTGCGATCACAAGTCAAGAGTCCAATCATTGCCCTTTAGTCACAAACGCCCCCAGCTGACCCTCCCTCCAAAGAGTTCTCAGGGGCTGTAAACTGCATGAGAGGTTGTTTCCCATCTTTCTCTTCTGGGGCACCTGGTGAATTCGAACCACTGAGCTCCCTCATTAGCTATTAAAGAGATGCAAATAAAAATTACAATGAGATATTAGCTTTCTTGACTCCATGCCCAAGGGGACAAAAAAAAAAAATACCAATACTGATAATAAAAAAAACAAAACAAAACCAAAAAACAGAGTCTGGTGAGGTGATGGTGGGACTGAAATCTCTATCTATTGCTGGCAAGACTCGGCAATATGATACCACCACTGTGGAATTTGATACGGCAACTCTTCAAAAAGTTAAAAGTAAAAATACTCAAGGATCTAGCAATGCCATTCTTGTGAATATATCCTGCAGATCTAAGAACACCAATGTAAATAGACACATACATGATGATACCGTAATATAAAAAAACCCAAATGCCATCTATGGATAAATAGATAAATAATTGTGTACATACTTGGAACGGAACATGGCGTGACCATAAAGAAAAAGGGGTCTGAAGAACGTTAACAATCAATCTGGAGAACATCCAGCTGACTGGAATTAGTCAATCACAAGAGGGCAACTGTTAGGATTTCACTACTTAATAAAGGCAAGAATACATACAAAAAGCAACAGTCTTCAGTGATTACGAGGGATGAGTAGGGGAAAACGCATTCAATTTTGTGATAATAGTAAGGACAATTAAAAACATACCTGTCACAGTTTGCACATATGCACATGGAGGTGTATAAGGCACATGTGCGTATGTGATATACGCGGTCACAGTTTGCACATATGCACATGGAGGTGTACAAGGCATATGTGCGTATGTGATATACACGTGCAGATGGACCTGTAGGCCGGGAGGTGTATCTGCATGCTGGTTTGCACTCAGATACATTTGTGTATGAAGTGTTTCAACATATGTCCACAATCCTTACAGGATTAGTTTACTGGATAAAAGACATATGACCAGAGTCTCATGTTCAGTCAAGTGTAACACAGCTTATAAAAATAATACTCTATATTCCAATTTAGTGAGTAATTTTGGGATCTTAAAGGCCTATATGTGGATCTCTAAGACTTACACAACTACTGGTTTCTACTTATCTACTGCAAAAGGAGAATTAAAGAAACCAAAGATGATGTTGTGTGTTGTCAAAGTGCCTGCAACTCATAGTGACCCGAAGCCTGCCAGTCTCATTGACTCCAGCCCACCAACCCCATTACCCTAGTTACTGTGTCAATCCATATCATCTGGGGTCTTCCTCGTCTGTGCTGTTCCTCCACCCTTCCAAGCATGATGTCCTTCTCCAAGGTCCGGTCCCTCCTGCCCACGTGCCCAAAGCAAGTCAGATGGAGCTTCAAAATCCTTACCTCCAAAGACACACACAAAACCCCCCTAGGCTACAAGACTAACTGTCCACACAGTGCCTGGCCACCAAGAGTGACAACACCTGACAGGGAGACAGCAAAGAACACATACAGAATGGGAGAGAAATGCGGAGCAAGACAAACTTCAAGTTTCTAACAATGGCCAGACTTTCTATTTGAAACAGATGGACCCCAACGTGACCTTGTGAACATATCTTCTAAAGGCAGAAGTCAGCCAAATTGCCAGGTAAAAGAAACAACTCACTTATGAATTACACTCTGCCATAAATAGTGAACCAGCTACATAAAACCAAACTGTTGACATCTGTTCCAAAGCAGAGATGAGATAGCAAGGAGCAGGCAGGGAGGAGAGATTAAAACAAACAGAACAAACAGAAGGAAAAGAAGGAGAATGCTGCCACACCACAGAAGCTGTAACGTCAATGAAGACTTTGTACAACAACTGTAAATGGGAAGTGGATTTGCTCTGTGAACTTTAACCTGAAACACAGTAGAACATTTTAAGAAAGAAAGTCTCCCACTGTGGAAAATCTTGACTGCAGGACTGTGATGGGGCGGGGCATAGGGTCATCTGAGGCCCCCACTCCTAGCACTAGTGGTCTAGGCGGGGTTATCCCAGTCTCAGTCCTGCACTGACCCCTCCTACCTACCCACCCTTTTACCTGCTTAATAAGCATGTAGGTCTCGGACATGATCTTCTCAATGGGGCCCAGGTCATAGGACACACCCTTCTGGCCCTGCTGCCACACGCGGTAGGCGTCCAGCAGGAGCGTTTTGCCAGACTCCGTGTCCTCCAGGAGCTTCCTCTTGCGGCTGGGTCTTGAGGCCAGCTCCTCTGGGGAGCCACCCAGCCTGGGGCCAGTCGCTGAAGTGGTGGGGGCAGGTGGGATGGATGTGGGCAGGGTGGGCTGCTGCCCTGTACTGATGCTCAGCTCCTCCAGGGACAGCTCAGCCGGCCGGTTCTCAGAACCCCACTCCACTGGCGGCACACTCTCTGAATCAGGGTGCTGAGTGACCACCTCGCTTGTGTCCATAGGCTCAGTACGGCTGGCCCGGGGGCTCTCCTTGTCCCTATACTCTGCTTCCTGGTCCGTGCTGTCACCTGTGTCCAGGGCCACAGACCAGTGGTTGGGGGGGCTCACTTTGGTCCCTGGCTCCACCCCTGGCCCCAAGCCATCAACCAGGGGAGGCTTCTTTGGGTGAGGCAGGGCCTGCTGGCCGTCCTCGGGGCTGGCCTGGTGAGAGGCATCTGTGGTCATCCTGGGTCCAGGGAGACCAGAAGCTTTGTGTCTCGTGCATTCAGAACCCTACAAGGAAATGAAGAGTGAAAGACACCCTGCCTGGGGTTGTCCTGGGCTGAACATGGTGCACCAGCGCTCCCTGTGAACTGTATGGTAGAAGTGAGGCAGGACATCATGCCTGGGGTGGTTCTGGGCCATTCCCCACACCATGGCAAAGCCCCTAAGGAGGGCTCAGAGGACAACTGTGGGAAAATGCAGGGTGCCAACTGCTAGTATGGATACTTTATTTCCTGAAACTTTTTTTCTCAACTATGAAAAAAGTTTACAGAGAAGGTGGGCTCTGAAGGCAGTACTGTTGGGTAGATGCCCAATGATGCTCACTGATCACTCTGCTGCCCCAAAAATTTGTGACCACTCTCTACTTGGTGCCACAAAGAGGGGACAGACTGGGTTACAGTGTGGGGAGAGCAGAAGATCAAGAGAGACAAAAGAAACAGTAGAGAGGAAGTGCAAAGACAGTGAAGAGGCTTGAAAGTGGGAGGACAGTGTGTCCACAGTGATGAAGCAGTGTGAAGAGAGTGAGGAGGCAGTGCTGAGATGGTGTACAGACAGTGAGGAAGCAATGTGGAGACATTGAGGGGAGAGTGGAGGCAGAATGGAGACAGTGTACAGTGAGGAAGCAGTGTGGTGACACTGAGATAGTGCTCAGAGAGTGAGAAGACAGTGTGCAGACAGTGAGATAATGAGGAAGCAGTGTGGAGACAGAGAGGAGTCAATGTAGATGCAGTGGGAAGATACTGAAGAGGCAGTGTGGAAACAAAGAGGAGGCAGTGTGGAGACGTTAAGATGACAGTACGGAGGCAGTGAGGAGATACTGAGAAAACAGTAAGAAAGCAGTGTAGAGGCAGTGTGGGGACACTGAGAAGATAGTGCAGAGGCTGTGTGGAGAGTGATGAGACAGTGAGGAGGCACTGTGGAGACAGAGAAGACTGAAGTCAGTAAAAACGCAGTGTGGATGCAATAAGAAGACAATGTAGAGACACTGAGGACGCTGTGTGGAGGGTGCAGACAGTTTGAAGACAATAAGGAAATAGCATGGAGACGGTGGTGGCAGTGTGGAGACAGAGAGGAGACATGGAGGAGATAGTGTGGAGGAGCCAGTGTGGAGACAGAAAACAATGTGGAGACAATGTGAAGACAGTGAAGAGACAGTGTGGAGGCATTATGGATGCAGAGAGGAGAGAATGAGGGGGCAGTGGGGAGAGAGAGGAGGCAGTTGAGCCACTGAGGAGACAGAAGGGAGTTAGTGAGGAGACAGAAGGCAGTGAGGTGAGTGAGTAGGCAGTCCAAAGGCAGTGAGTATACAATGAGAAAGCAGTGAGAGGATAATGTGGGGACAGTGTGAAGATCGTGAGATGACAGTGTGGAGAGAGTGAGGAAGCAGCATAGAGACACTGAGGAGGCAGTGAGAAGACAATGTGGATGAAGTGAGAAACGGAGGAGCCACTGTGGAGACAGTGAGCAGACAGTATGCAAGCAGTATAAAGACAGTATGAAGACAGTCTGGAGGCAGTGAGGAGGCAGTGAGGAGGCAGTGAAGAGGAGACAGTCTGGGGGAGACAGTGAGGAGGCAGTGAGGAGATAGGGTGGAGACAGTGAGGAGGCAGTGAGAAGACAGGGAGACAGTGTCGAGACAGTGAAGAGACAGTGAGGAGACAGTGAGGAGGCAGTGTGGAGGAGACAGTGTGGAGACAGTGAGGAGACAGTGTGGAGACAGTGAGGAGGAGACAGTGTGGAGACAGTGAGGAGGTAGTGTGGAGGAGACAGTGAGGAGGCAGTGAGGAGACAGCGTGGAGACAGTGAGGAGACAGTGAGGAGGTAGTGTGGAGGAGACAGTGAGGAGGCAGTGAGGAGACAGCGTGGAGACAGTGAGGAGACAGTGAGGAGACAGTGAGGAGGCA